GCGTCTCGTGGATCTTGGTGTTGCACATGGGGCAGTACTTGCTGGTCTGCAGGTACTTCACGATGCAGCTCTTGCAGACTGGGGACAAGGACAGGTGTGGGGGGGACGAGGACAGGTGGCACTGCCCCCCCAGAGCCCCCCCAGGCAGGTGGGGACACTCACAGGTGTGCAGGCACTCGGTGATGGTGGTGGCGTCGATGAAGTAGCCAGCGCACAGGAAACACACGATGTGCTCGTTCAGCTCCTTCATCTTCACCTTCACCTCCTCCTGAGGGTGGGGACACAGCATTGTCACCTGGAGCATGCCAAGACCACCCTCATCTGTCACCTGGAGACCCCTGAGACCCCTCTCATTCTTCACCTGGAACCCCTTAGAGAAACAAGCTTCTGCCATTCCCCTAATATGCTAAAAAATCAGATTTTGGGGAATTGCACCTCTTGTTTTGCTTTAATATGCCAGAAAACACATTCTGAAGGGCTGGACACCCTCGTCTTCCTAAAATATATCAGAAAACGGGATTTTGTAGGGATTGCCCCCTGTCTTCCATTATTACACCAGAAAATGTATTTTGAGAGGCTGGCTTCATTATCTTAACTTAATACGCCAAAAAATGGGATCCTGGGGGAGAATGCCTCCTGTTTTCTCTTATTATGCTAGAAAACAGGACCTGGGTGGGGCTGTACCTCCTGTCTTCCATTATTATGGCAAAACACGGGATTTTGGGGTGCTGCACCCCCTGTATTGCCTTAAAATGCCAGAACACAGGACTGACCACTCCATTTCATTATTACGCTAGAAAACGGGATTTGAAGGAGGTTGGATACCCTGCTTTGCCTTATTATATCAGAAAATGAGATTTTGGGGGTCCGGGGACACCCCCAGCTCAGTGCCTGCCCCGATCATTTGACCACGCCCCCTTCTCCAGGCCCCGCCCCTTCCACTAGACCCCGCCTCCCCGCACCGCCCCTCGGTCTCACAGCGCCCCCCAGCGGCGCTAACGCGGCACCTCCCGTCCCTTCCCGAGCTGGCCCCCGGTGTCGCCGCCACCGCCTCCTCCCGATGCCTCCTGCCCTCCCGGCACGGCCGCTCGCCTCATTCCGCAGCGGGTCCATCTTGTAGACGGCCTGGAGCTGGTTCCGCAGCCGCATGGCGATGGCCATCGGGCCCCCCTGAGGAGGCGACGCCATCTTAGAGCCGCCTCCGCCTGTGGCCTCGCGCACTTCCGTGTTCGGGGCGGGGCCGCGGCGAGCGGCGGGACTACAACTCCTAGCGTGCCCCGCGAGTCTCGAGTCGAGGCGAGCAGCGCAAGCTCGGCCCTGTGCTGATCCTTCCCCGAGACCCACGGGGAGAGCCCCGGGATCCCGAGACTCTCCGACCTCGTCCGTGAGGGGGACCCGCCGCGAGCCGCCGCCACCGGACCCGCCGTGTTTAGGGGAGGGCGTTCCCGGCACTGGCCAATAGCGAGAGGGCGCGCTCTTGACGGACAGCAGCGGCCGCCAATCAGAGAGGGCTCTGCGTGCGCGTGGTGCTGCGGAACGCCGCCAGAGGGCAGCAGAGCAACGCGGGGGAACGGGAGGGGCGGGGGGGGGGCAGCGGGAGTGCGGGGGGCACGGGAGGGAACCGGGGCTTGAGGGGATCTGAGAGGGCCTGAGGGGGTTTGAGGGGGTCTGAGGGGATCTGAGGAGGCCTGAGAGGATTTGAGGGGGTCTGAGGGGATCTGAGGGCGTTTGAGGGGATCTGAGGGGGTTTGAGGGGATATGAGGGGGCCTGAGGGGATCTGAGAGGACCTGAGGGGATTTGAGGGGATCTGAGAGGATCTGAGGGGGTCTGAGGGGATCTGAGGGGATCTGTGGGGTCTGGAGGCTGCGAGGGGGCACGAAGGGAACGAGGAGTCCGTGTGGGGCGCGGGGTACACGCGGGGCACTCGGGGTGGGTGGTTTAGGGGGGTCCTTGAGGTGCGGGAGATCTCGGGGCGCTCAGGGGGTCTGGGAGGATTCGGGAGGGACACCGGGGTGTCCTGACGGGAGCACAGCGTGAACGGCGGCGGCGAGGGCAGGGCTGGGCTCAGGGATGCCGCGGCACCGGCAGGGTCGGGGTGTTTGCCCCGGCAGTTCGGGACACCGGGACAATTCGGGGTGCCGGGGTTCAGGAAGGGTTGGGGTGCTGGGGTGTCGCTGGGGTTCCAGCGTGGTACAGTTTGGGGTGTCGTGCTACTGATATTTGGGGTGTCCGGTGCTGGCAGGGTTGAAGTGCTGGCAGTTGGGGGTGTCGGGGTGCTGCAGTCTGGGGTGCTGCAGTTCGGGTTGCCGGGGCGCTGCAGTTTGGGGTGGTGGCAGTTTGGGATGCCGAGGTGTTGACAGTTTGGGGTGCTGGTAGTTTGGGGTGCCGAGCGGCTGGCACTTTGGGGTGCCAGCGGAGCAGCCCGCGGCCCCACCCGGCTCAGCCGGAGCCACGTTAATGCAGGTTTGGCTCAGGGGAAGCAGCGGCCGCGCTAATGCGGAGCCGAGCCGAGTTCCCCACGGCCCCTCAGAGCCCCCCACGGCTCCTCACGGACTGTGCCACCCCCCCGGAGCTCAGACCGGACGGCGGGGAAGGCTGGTCCATGCCAGGGAGTGGGAGCGGGCAGAGGAGCACGGCGGGATCCCCGAGCAGGGGCTGGCACCCACCATGGCAGCATGGAGCTCCTGGCACACAGCCGCGCTGCCAGCCCTGCTCCGGCACAGGCTCCGCACGGGCTGCCACGGCCGGGGCGGGTTTGGGGCTCCTGGATGGGTCCCGGTATTGTCCTGGTCCTGATCATGATCCCGGTCCGGAACAGGGGTCACAGCGCTTACTGCACCCCTCAGCTCCCTCAGTGTTCCCAGCCCAGCCGCGCTGTCCCCGCTGCCCCACCGGAGCGTCTCAGCACCGAGCCCCGGTGACCCCGGTGCCAGCCCCTCGTCCCGGAGTGTGGCCGAGCCCCGGGACCAACACGAGCCCCTCCCGGTGCCGGCGGGCAGAGGCTCCGGGCCGGCCCCCGCCTCTCCGCCCGCCCATTCCCTGCCCGCGCCTCCGGAGAGGCGAGAGCGCGGCGGGGCCGGTGACCCCCGGCTGGGGAGTGTCCGGTCCCACCTGTACCTGCCAGGAGCCATCCGGGGAGGGGCGGGGGTCACAGCGGGGCCAGCGCGGCCCCACGGCGGGGCAGCATCGCTTTCTGAGAACCGGCACCGGACCCGGCAACGGCACCGCGAGTCCCGGCTCTGCGGGTGGCTCTGGCGTGGGCCCCGCGGGACCGAGGGCGGAGAGCCCGTCCCAGGGCTGGGGTCCTGGGCAGCCGGTACTCCCGGAGCCGCCCCCGCCAGGCGAGGCCGCGGATCCATCTCGCCGTTAATAATTGATGGCGGGAGCCGCCGGGGCTGCGCGGGGCTGCGGGGCCGAGGCTTTTAGCTCAGCCCTGCTCAGTTATTCAGCTCCATTTCCGCGGCACGGCCGGGGCGGCTCCTTCTGGGAAGCGCTGCCGCGAGCTTTCCCGGCCGGAGCCCTCGCTGGGGCTGAGGCTGGACACACTCATGGCCGCAGTGGTGCAGGGCAGCAGCGTTAGCTCCCCCTCCATCCCATCAGGTGTATAGGGACCCTCCAGGGAAGCCAGGGGACTCCCAGGGTGGACAGAGGTCCCTGTTAGATCGGGCAGAAGAGATAGGGGTCCCCTATTAATCCCTCTGAGGTGGGCAGGGGTCCCTGTAGGGCAGCGAGGGCTTGGTGCTCATGGACTGAGCTCCTGCCTAATGCACCGAGTGCATCTGCAAAATCCAATTAACCTTTGATAACGAGGCACTGAGCGACGTGGCTGTCAGCGGCCACCAGCCACACGGCACGCTGTGGCCCCCGACGGGCACCAGCCCACCAGGACGGCCCCCAGGCCAGGCAGACCCCCAGAAAAACCCCCGGCTGGTGTTGGACCGTGGGGAGGTGAGGGTGGGCTACCCTGAGGGCACCCGGGGTGCCCAGCCATGTGTCCTGTGGCTCCTGGGCACTGCTCCCGCTGACCATTGGAGCTGTACCTGCCTGTCCTGCAGCCCGATCGGGTGGTGCTGTGTGTGCCCCCCACTCCCCAGCACCCCCTCTGCTCCATCCCTCACCCCCCTCCGAAAGCCCGGGGGGCTCTCAGCTCCCGCTCCGCGTCCATCCCCTCTGCACCCCCAGGCCACACTGTGTCCCCCAGCCCTTCTGCCCCACGGCGCTGGGGTCCCCAGAGGGTTTGAGGGGGTGGCCCGTGCCACACCCCGAGTCCGGACCCGCAGTCCCCCCTGTCCCCCGCCGCAGGGACGGCAGTGCCCGGGGGGAGCAGCGCCCCAGCAGCCGCTGTTGGCGTCACCGTGCAGCCGCCTACGCACCCATGTGGCACCCGGCTCCTCCCCGAGGACACGGCGCAGACGCCGAGGGCCACCACCGTGACGTCCGAGCGGGCGACTCGGCCGTCGGGTCCATCCGCGGCCACGGTGACCCCATCCCAACCCCACAGCGGTCCCATCCCGGCCCCATCCCATCCCCATCCATCCTCATGCCAGCGCTCCCGGCGTGCCAGCCGGGTCGGGGTGGGCACCGCGCCCACCGGCTGCTGCCGCCTCACCCCGCGCACCCCGTCCGGGTGCCGGCGCCCGCGGCGGGCGGGCGGCGGGGGGCACCGGGAGTGTTTCATGCGGTTAAGAAGTGTCTGATTGAGGCAGGAGGCGCCAGCAGCTCCCCCGGGAGCCGCAAGCCAAGGACTGGAGGACCAAATGCAGGCTAAAGTAATCCAATCTGGGCTGGTTCATCTAATTAGCCCAGAATTAACCCAGCAGCCAGAGAGGAGCTGACTGTCCCTCCAGTTTGCCAGCGGGTTTGGGGGGAAGCGGGAGGAAGAAGGGGACGTCCAGCGGTAATGAGATTACGGGGGGGAGCGGGCGGGAGCGGGCGCGCGGCAGCCTCTGGCCGGTGGCAGCGTGGGGCCCCGCCAGGTCCCCGCCGCGCCACCGCCGTGATGGCCGCGGCACCGGGGACAGGCACCGGGGACAGGCACGGACCCGTCCCAGCGACCCTCGCCCCGCAGCAGCTTCCGAGCCCTCGGCGTCCCCGTGAGGGACGGAAGCACCGGCACGGGCGGCACCGGGGATGCGGCACCACGGAGCCGCGCAGCTGCACCGGCAGCCCCGGGGCCACGGCGGGGGACGGGGCGAGGAGCCCCGGCAGCTTCGGGCAGCGCCTCCGTGGTGGGGCGGGCAGGGCCGGACCGCACAGACCCCATGTGTGACCCCCTGCTCCGGGGCACAGGGGCGCGGAGGGCGCGGGGCGGGGAGGTGCTGGTGCAGCCATGGCGGTGGCAGGGCCCGGTGCTGCTGAAGGCTGATTCCCTGCTGGAAACGGGCAAATGCCTTTTTTCTGTCGCATCCCGTTCAGCTGTCCCTGACACCCACCCTGGGTGGTAGATCTGCCAGAACCTTGGGGTGGGAGAGGGGACACAGAGGACACGCAGGTCCCTGCTGTGGCCGAGAAATGAGGAAGGGCCTGCACTGGCCCACTGGGGGTTTCTGGGTGCAGGACCTGCCTGGTCCCCACGGTGGCTCAGGGGACCCTGGAGCAGGGACACGGCCTCCTTCCAGGTGGCCCAAGGGTCACTGGGAAGGCAGAGCCAGCGAGCGGCACAAGGTGGTGACACCTTCGTTAATGGGGTCTCTGGCAGGGAAACACCCGACACCCACAGCCAAGGTCGGAAGGGGCTCAGAACTCCTTGAGCACCCTCAGTTCTTCCCCTCCCTCCCAGGGCAGCCCCGGCCGTGCTGCTGGAGGGTGTCGGGCAGGGGGGGCTGCTCCGGCCGGGGGTGCCGCCTGCAGCCCCCCGTGGGCGTGGGGCGGGCCCTGGCGCCGGGAGAGCCCGCACTGCCCCGGGCCCCGTCCCAGCCCCCCGATCCATCTCCCAGCCCGGCAGATTCCAGCCCCTGGGCACGGCAACATCTGCCTCCTGCTCCGGGTTCAATTAACCTGCTGCCGCCTCCTCCTCCGGCACCGGCCATTTCCTCCCACTGCCACTGTCACCGCTGTCACCGCTGCCACTGCCACTGCCGCCGCCATGGCTGCACCCCACGGGGTCACAGCGGGTCCCTTTGCCGCAGCAGACCCGGAGCCGGTGACTCTTTCCAGGTGGAAAAGCCACACTGGGAACACCGGGATTTGTCCCAGCACCTGCCGGGCCGCGAGCAGGGAACGCCAGAAATCCGCGGCGCCGGCAGGGCAGGGTCCCGGTGCTGTGTCCCCCTCCCCTCCTGGGCACACGAGGCTCCGTCGGTGCCCCTGGTGTGGAGAGGAGCAGCTCGGCCGCTCCCGGTGCCGGGGTGGGCTGTGGGCATGGCCGAGGGTGGCACAGCCGTGTGCCCCTGCAGCCCCACACCCCGGCAGAGCTGCGGCCGCAGGGACGGACACCCCACACTGCAGCGAGTCAGGGACCACCCGGTGCCCCCCGGTGCCCTTGGGATGCCAGGTGCCCCGGGCTGTGCAGTGCCCCCGGTGCGGCAGCTGCAGCCCCCGGTGCCGCCGTGATTTACAGGCGCAGGCCCCGGTAATGTCATTTGCCCCAGACCGGTGGCGCCAGGGTGCCCGGGAAGCCGCCGCCGCCTCCGCCCCGCCAGCCCCTGTCCCGGGGCCGTGACCCTCCCGGGAGCCGCCGGGAACCCACCCGCGGGGCCGCCGCTGTCGCGATAGTCGTCGGAAAACCCGACCGAACCAGTGCCGCTCTCCGCTGCCGTAACCGACGGGCCCGGGCTGGGCTCTGTGACCGGGAAAGGCGGGCGGGGAACGGGGGTTCATCCCAGGGAACGGCGGGTCGGGAACCGGGGTCTATCTCCGGGAATGGCTGGGCCAGGGGTGTCGGACTCCATCCCCGTGGAAAACGGGGTCCGTGATACCGGGAACGGCAGGTCCCGGGAAGGGGGGATTCATGGCCCGGGAACTGACGGTCTGCGTGGGATCGGTGCCCCGGGAAAGGCGGAGCCCTGGGAACTGAGACCCCAGCGACCGGAAACGGCGACTCGAGGAGATTGGGATCCGTGTCCCGGGACGTGTCGGTGTTCTGGGCACGGCGGGTCGGAACAACCCCTGAGTCCCCGCACTGGGGCCGCCAGATCCATTCGCTCCCGTACGGACGGGCTCGGTGCGAAGCCTGCGCACCGCGGGCACCGGTCCGTGCGCCCCGCGGTAACGGCGCTGGGGCAGGGGGGCTTCGTGCACACCGGGAGGTGCAGCTGGAAGCGCCGACGGGGCTGCGAATGGAGCGGGGACGCGAAAAGGCGCCGCGCTGCTGCCCGGTGCGACAGCGGCTCCGGTGCACCGGCTAGGCGGTCCGGCGGACGCCCCGGCGAGGCGACCGGGTACGGAAACCGTCAGTGCATGGGCGGCATTCGGGACCCGACGGGCCCGTCCGCTTGTCCCGGAGCCGGGGCGAGGGCCCGGAGCGGCGGGGGCGGGGGGGTCCCGGGGCGGGGGCGGGGCCCCGAGCTGTCAATCACGGGGCGCGGCCGCCAATCAGGGCGCGGGCGGTGGGAGTTCGGCCGGTCCGGATGGAGCGGGGCAGAAAAGCGCGTCCCGCCAGGGCCCGCAGCCCACCCGCGCTCCCGTCCCGGGGCCGCCAGCGGCTGCGAGCCATGCCCCGCACCCTGCCCCGGGCCCGCACCCGCCACCTGCCCCGCACCTTGCTCCGGGCCCGCGCCTCGCACCGCGTCCTGCCCCGCACCGGCCGCTCCGTGCCCGCCGCCGCCGCCGCCCCCCGCCGCCCCCCGGCCATGCCCGTGCCCCGCCGGCTCTGAGCGCGGCCGGGATGGAGCGGGAGGGCGGCGGCCCGGGGCCCCCCGCGCCCCACGAGCCCATCAGCTTCGGTATCGATCAGATCCTGGGCGGCCCCGAGCCCACGGGGCCGCACCGGGCGGCGGCAGAGCCCGATTACGGGCTCTACGGCAGCGGCTACGGCCCCACCGGTCCGCTCGGCTCCTACAACCTCAACATGAGCATGAACGTGAGCGTGAACGTGACCCCCGCGCCCGCCGCGCCGCCCGCCGGAGTCATCCGCGTCCCGGCGCACCGGCCCGCGCCCGCCGCGCCGCCCGCCGCGCCCGCCGCGCCGCCGCCGGGGCCCGCGCTGCCGGGGCTCACCTTCCCGTGGATGGAGACCACGCGGCGCATCGCCAAGGACCGGCTCTCAGGTGAGCGGGCGGGACGGCAACCGGCGGCTACCGGCGGCTATTGACGGCTCCGGGCACTCCCGCGGCACCGGGCACTCCCGCGGCACCGGCTGCTCCCGTGGTGCCGTCGGGGCAGCGCGGTCCGGCCGGCGCGGCGCGGGTCGGGGCGTACGCGGGGACCGGGCGGGGATGGCGGGCACCGTGCTCTCCACAGGTTCCCGCAGTGCCCGGTGCTCGCCCGCCGCCGTCGGGGCCCGCGGGAGCGGCTCGGGGTAGACGCGGCTACCGGCGGCTCCACCGCGGCACCGGGCAGGGACCGGCGGCTCCAGGTGGAGCTTGGGGGTCCCAGCGGGCTCCGGTCTCGAGCTCTACTCCGTGTCTGGTCTCTTCCCGGTTTGGGGGTGCCGGTGGTGACGCTGTGACACCGTAACGGGGAGGCTGCGGGAGCCGGGGTGTGCGGTGGGCGCTCTGCGGGTATCAGATGTGGTGTGGGGGCTCTGAAGGGACACTGTGCAAGGTGGGGGACCTTCCGTGGGACTGAGGACAAAGCCCATCCACGCACAGAGCAATGTCCCATGCCTTGTGAACTCCGAGAATGGGGGTGCAGGGGTACCTGGGGGTGTCTGGGGATGGGATCCCGGGTCTGAACGTGCCGGGATCGGTGTGGAACTCACAGTGCCAGCGCTGCGGGAGAGCCCAGGGCGGCCATGCGGGGTTGTGGAGGCAGCGAGGGGTTGAGGTGCTGCTGGTGTGGCTGGGGCTGAGCTCCGTGCTGGGGCTGAGCCGCAGTGCTGGGGCGGGGGTGCTGCTTGCTGCACCCCAGGAGCAGGAGGGGTGCTGAGGTTGGGGTCCCGGGCACTGGGACCGTGTGTGGCTGCTGGGGACCCCGGCCTGGCTCGGCTCCGCTCCCGCCCAAGATGGCGGCACTGCCACGTCCACAGCCTGTGGCCGCATGCGGGGACAAGGCTGGAGGCCATGAGGGGCTGGGGGCTGAGTCCCGGCCGTGTGGGCCATGGGGGGGGTCTGGGGCAGCACACTGAGGACTGTGGGGGTCCCACCCGGGCGCCAGCAGAACCGTCTTCACCTCCGGGCCCACCCCGCCATGGCAGCGGTGACGAAGCACGGTCCCCGCGCAGGGGTGGCGGGTGGCGGGTGACGTCCTCGTCTCCTGCCTGGCGCCAGCCTTGGGTGGATGGGGCAGCCCCTCCCCAGCGCGGGGTCTCTCAGCCGCAGCCATCACTCAGCACCTTGGCCTTGGGGTGGGCTGCGGGCAGGAGGCAGCTGGTCCCGCTGAGAGGCCGCCCATGCGGGGAGGGGACTCGGGGGCCTCTGTTCCCCCGGCTCCACCTGCCCCAACCGTGCCCTGCACGGCTCCACCTGCCCCAACCGTGCCCGTCCCCCGGCTCCACGGCTCCACCTGCCTCAACCGTGCCCTGCACGGCTCCACCTGCCCCAACCGTGCCCGTCCCCTGGCTGCACTGCTCCTCCAGCCCAGGCAGCCTCCTGGGCACAGATGGGAGGGAGGATCTGTGGGTGCCAGGGGTCCCTGGGGTGCTGTGGGCTGTGCCCCATGTCCCTGTGCCATGGCCACCCCATGGTCCCGGCCATGTGCAGCCCTGCCCATGCGGTGTGGCCCTGGTGGCGGCTGTGGTGCCGTGGTGCCACGGGGATGTGGTGCTGTAGGGTCATGGCTTGGCCAAGGTTGCTGCCAGAGCAGGAGGGGTGCGGGTGTTAGGGGCTGAGCCTGCCAAACCTTTGCTGTCCTCCCTGCTGCTCTGATGCTCCGTGCTGCTCTGGCAGCTTCTGGGTTTGGGATGTGGCACGTTGGCCTCACCAGGGCTGGCTCACACCTCAGCTGGGCAGGGACATCCCCTTCCCCAGCCCATGGAAAGAGACACTGTCTGCCTCCCAACAGTTTCTGTGGTCCCGTACCCTCACGGGCAGGGCTGGGCAGTCCCTGCAGTGCCCCGGAGGCTCCTCAGGCTCGGTGTGAGGGGAGGGTGGGTTTGTGCAGCCGGGCTCGATGATCCTGCATCAGTGCTGTGACGGAGCCAGCCCATCCACCCCAACATTCCAGTGCCCATCGCAGGGCTGGGGGAGTGGCTGTGCCGTGGGGTAGGAAAGGGGACAGATCCTCCCTCATGCCATGCCTTGAGCTGCCCCTATGTCCCCAAAGTGGGGAAAACTCTGGGCGTCCCCCTCCCATACTCTCCCAGGCAGCACTAGTGGCTCCCCTGGCACTCCCCACCCCCGTGTGCCCCCGAGCTCCCCGCCATCCCCCAGGGTCCTGCCCTGCTGTGCTTTGCTGGGTGACCCCAGCGCCCCCTGACGCCGCTGTCCCCGCAGCCGCGCTGTCGCCCTTCGCGGTGACGCGGCGCATCGGGCACCCGTACCAGAACCGGACGCCGCCCAAGCGCAAGAAGCCGCGCACGTCCTTCTCCCGGGTGCAGATCTGCGAGCTGGAGAAGCGCTTCCACCGCCAGAAGTACCTGGCCTCGGCCGAGCGCGCCACCCTGGCCAAGGCCCTCAAGATGACGGACGCCCAGGTCAAGACCTGGTTCCAGAACCGCCGCACCAAGTGGAGGTAACAGGGACAGCCCTGGGACAGCTGCCACAACTGTAATGCTCACAGCCCTCTGTGAGCACCCAATATCTGACAGCCCAATATCCCTCTAACAGCCACCCCTATGTGTCCCTCTGGCAGACACCCCAATATATTCCTCTGACAGACACCTCAATATCCTTCCGACAGCCACCCCAATATCCCTGACAGCCACCCCAATAAATCCCTCAGGCAGCCACGCCATATCTCTCTGGCCAACACCTCAATATCCCTCTGAAAGTCACCCCAATATCCCCATGACCCCAATATCCCTCTTGCAGACACCTCAATAGATACCCTCTGACAGCCATCCCAATATCCCTCTGACAGCCACCCTAATATCCCTATGACAGACACTCCAATATATCTCTCTGGCAGATACCCCAATATCCCTCTGGCAGCCACCCCAATGTCCCTATGACCCCAATATCCCTCTGGCAGACACCCCAATATCCCTATGACAGCCACCCCTCTGTGTCCCTCTGACAGCCACTTCAAATCCCTATGACAGCCACCCCATATCCCTCTGGCAAACACACCAATATCCCTCTGGCAGCCACCCCAATATCCCTATGACCCAAATATCCCTGTTGCAGACACCTCAATAGACACCCTCTGACAGCCACCCCAATATATCCCTCAGCAGCCACCCAAATATCCCTATGACAGCCACCCCAATATATTCCTCTGACAGCCACCTCAACATCCCTCTGGCAGCCACCCCAATATCCCTCTGGCAGCCACACCAATGTCCCTATGACCCCAATATCCCTCTGGCAGACACCCCAGTATCCCTATGACAGCCACCCCAATATATCCCTCGGCAGCCACCCTAATATCCCCATGACAGCCACCCCAATATAGTCCTATGGCAGCCACTCCAATATCCCTCTGGCAAACACCCCAATATCCCTCTGGCAGACACCCCTATGTGAATCTCTGACAGACATCCCGATATATCCCTCTGGCAGAGACCCCAATACTCCTCTGAAAGCCACCCCAATATCCCTCTGACAACCACACCTGTGTGTCCCTCTGGCAGCAACACCAATATACCCGTGACAGCCACCCTATATCCTTCTGGCAAACACACCAATATATCCCTCTGGCAGCCACTCCAAAATATCCTTATGACAATCATCCCAATAGATCTCTCTGACAGACACCCCAATATCCCTGTTGCAGCCACCACAATATCCCTATGATAGCCGCTCCTGTGTGTCCCTCTGGCAGACACCCCATAATCCCTCTGACAGCCACCCCAATATATCCCTCTGGCATACACCCCTATGTGTCCCTCTGGCAGCCCCATCAATGTCCCCATGATAGCCACCCCAATATCCCTATGACAGCCACCCCAATATCCCTATGACAGCCACACCAATATCCCCATGACAGTCACCCCAATATATCCCTCTGACAGCCACCCCAATATCCCTATGACAGCCACACCAATATCCCCATGACAGCCACCCCAATATCCCTCTGACAGCCACCCCTATGTGTCCCTCTGGCAGCAACCCCAATATCCCTATGACCCCAGAATCCCTCTGGAAGCCACCCCAATATCCCTATGACCCCGGAATCCCTCTGGCAGCCACCCCAATATCCCTATGACCCCAATATTCCTCTGGCAGCCCCAAACCCCACATCCCTCCAGCAGCGAGCCCCACATTCCGGGAGAGGCTGGGACTGGGATGGACTGGGGATGGACGGCACCACCATGGCCTCTCCTGTGCCTTGCTGTGCCCTCTCTGGTGGCGCTGCGGCACGTGTCCCATGGCAGTACCAAGGGGACAAGGGACAGTGCCATCTGCGGCCGGTGCCAGCGCCGTGTGCGTGTGTGCAGGCGGCAGACGGCGGAGGAGCGCGAGGCCGAGCGGCAGCAGGCCAACCGGCTGATGCTGCACCTGCAGCAGGAGGCCTTCCAGAAGAGCCTGGCCCAGCCGCTGCCCCAGGACCCGCTCTGCATGCACAACTCCTCCCTCTACGCCCTGCAGAACCTCCAGCCCTGGGCCGAGGACAACAAGGTGACGTCGGTCTCCGGGGTGGCCTCTGTGGTGTGAGGGCGCTGCCGATGTGCCGGGAGGTGGCACCGGGAGCCCCGTGGGCTCTGAGCCTGGAGCGTGGCAGGGAAGGGGCTGCAGCTTCCTGAGAGAGAGCCCCGCACTGGCAGCCCCCTCCCTGCCATGGGGAGCCCCCCAGGAGTGAGGCCGTGCCCCTGTGGTTGGACTCAAAGCTTCAGCAAACCCCACCTGGAGCACTGCTGTGGGCAGCCCCCTGCCTGCTCCCCAAGAGCCCAGGGATGGGCCCTCATGCCCTATGGACCCCCAGGAGCCCAGGGATGGACCCCCAATGCCCTGTGGACCCCCAGGAGCCCAGGGATGGACCCCCATGTCCTATGGACCCTCAGGAGCCCAGGGATGGTCCCTCATGCCCTATGGAACCCCAGGAGCCCAGGGCTGAACCCCCATGCCCTATGGACCTCTGCAGCCTCTGCCTGGACCCCAGGAGCCCAGGGATGGACCCCCAATGCCCTGTGGACCCCCAGGAGCCCAGGGATGGACCCCCAATGCCCTATGGACCTCTGCAGCCCCTGTCTGCTCCTCAGGAGCTCAGGGATGAACCCCCATGCCCCATGGACCTCTGCAGCCCCTGCCTGGACCCCCAGGAGCCCAGGGATGAACCCCTGCACCCCAAAAATGTCTGTAGCCCTCTGCTCAGCCCCGTGGGAGCCAAGGGCTGGGCCTCTGCCCCCCCTGCACACCTGCTGCTCCCTGCTCGGAGCCCTGGGAGCGCAGGGATGGGCCCCCACACCTGGCAGGGTTCTGCAGCTCCCCCACCAGCAGCTCCATGGGCTCCACAGCCTCCAGCCCACCTGGAGCTCCCATTCCTGGTGCTGGGAGCCCCCCACCCTGGCAGCGGGGTCTGCCCCACCCGCACCATTTGCCTTATCCCGGTCGGAGTTTGCCGCCTCCGCCTTCCATCTGTGCACCAAGGGCTTGGGGCCCCACCCTGTGGTGGGACAGACTGACAGACTGAGCCCCCGGGCCTCCCTCCATGGTCTGTCAGCTCCCAGGGGCTGGACATGCCCGTGCAGCCCCCGCCATGGGCTCGGGGTGCCCCCCATCCCAATCCCTAACTGCCCCCGGGTGTCACCTCCCACACACTGAGCCCGGGTGCGACCCACGGGACACTCGTGGGGTGCAGAGGGGCTGAACCCCCCCTTCTTCTGGCAAATCTCTGCACCCCCTCCCCAGTGACCCCCTCCAGGACCATCCAGCCCGACTCCGGCCTCTGTTGATGATGATGGGGGGATGAAGGGCCTGGGGAGGGGGGATGACAGCGGTGACCTTGACCCTGAACTCGACCTTGCCCGCCACCCGCGATGCTGCAGCCCTTCACCCCACTTTTGGGGGACAGGCTTCTCCCCTCACCCCACTTTCGGGGGACAGCCTTCTGCGGGCTCCCCCTCTCCGCCGCTACCGGGAGGAGCCGTTCCCCCGGTACCGGCGGGATTGGCTGCGGTTCCGTGACGCGGAGGGGTGGGACCGCATTACCACCGGCATGAGCGCGGCCGAGGGCCGGCCCCGGTGCCGCTGGGGCGGCGGCGAGGCTGTGCTCCGTGCCCGTGCCGAGGCCGCCGGTTACCGGAGGCTGCTGCGAGCCCGAGCCGCCGAGGTGGAGGCGTTGCGGGGCGCGGTGGGCGCGTTACACCGGCAGCTGGAGGGGCTGCGGGACCGGCGGAGCGGGGAGCTGGCCAAGTACCAGGTGCGGGGCTGGGGGGGCGCCCGGGGGGCTGGGAGGGAGCGGGGGATGGGAGGAGGAGGAGGAGGAGGAGGAGGGTGGATGTTTTTGGGAGGGTGGATGTTTGGAGCTGGATGCCCGGAGGGATGGGGAGAAGGAGGGTGGGGATGGGGAGGGGCGGGGGTCAGGGGTCCGGATGGAAGTGGGGGGCCCCGGGAGGGAAGGGGGAGTTCAGGTGGGACCGGGAGCGGGGCTTTGTGTGGGTCGGGCCCCCGGGTGTCGGGGCGGGCTTGGGGGTCCCGTGGGTCCGTGTGGGGCGGGGGGCGGTGCGGAGTTCCAGGGGCCGGGAGTCCGTGCGGATCGGGGGTCGGGCCGGGGGTCCTGTGGGGGTCGCTGTGAGCGGGGGATCCCGTGGGTCCGTGTAGGGCGGGGGCCGTGTAGGGGCGCCGCGAGTCCGTGTAGGTGGGATTCGGGCCGGGACTTGGGATACCTGCGGATCGGGGGTCGGGCCGGGGGTCTGGAGGGGGTTCGGGGATCCTCGTGGGGGTCACTGTGAGCGGGGGTCCCTGCGTGGGTCCGTGTAGGGCGGGGGCCGTGTAGGTGAGGTTTGGGCCGGGACTGGGGATCCATCCGTGCGGATCGGGGGTCTGGAGGGGGTTCGGGGGGTCCCTGTGGGGGTCTCTGTGTGCGGGGCATCCCGGGGGTCGCCCCGCGGCCCCGGCGCTGCTGACGGCCCGGCTCAGGAGCGGGTGGCGGAGCTGGAGCGGGAGATCGGGGCAGCGGAGGCGGAGATGGCCCGGTGCCTGCGGGAGTACCCGGCGCTGCTGCGGCTGCGGATGGCGCTGGAGGCGGAGATCGCCGCGTACCGGTACGCGAGGGGGGCGCGGGGGGCACGGGGGGCGAGGGGCTTAGCCCGGCCCTTCTTTTCCAGGGAGATGCTGGAGAGCGAGGAGCTCCGCCTGGGCGGCTCGGTCCCGCCGTGAGCCCCGATGCCACCAACGGAGCCCGGCCCTGCCGTTACCACCGGAGCCACGGTGCCGGGACCGGATCCTCAGCCCCACCACCGGCCCCCGGTTCCTCCGCCGGACCCCAGACCCCCGATTCCTGCACCCCGGTTCCCTGGGACCCTCGGCGTCTCTCTGGACTGACGGAGCCCCGGTCCCTCTGTCCCCCCGTTCCACGGGTGCCCCGGACTGGTGCCCGCCTGGCCCGGGAGCCCAGGGAAGGCGGCACCCGTGGGGTCTCACACTCACCAGCCTCTCCGGGCCGGGGGTCCCGGCCCAGACCCCTGTGGAAGCACCTCAATAAAGCCCCGTGGCATCACCCGGAGGCGGCGCGGCTGGAGGGGGGTGGGCAGCACCCCCGGCTGTGCTCCGGGGGGCTCTGTGGGGTGGGGGGCTCAGGGAGGGGTCTGGGTTCCCTCCTGGTGCAGCCCCTCTCCCCCGAGATGGGCACGGCACGGGGACACTGAGGGGGCGCATTGTGGGGCCACAGCTTCGGGAGGAACTGAGCCCCCCCAGTGGTGATGGGGAGTCCCTGATCCCCCCACAGTCAGCGGTGCTTTGGGGTCAGGATGGGAGATCCTGCTCCCCGGGATGTGGGGATGGACGGGGTCAGGATGGGATCCTGCTCCCCGGGATGTGGGGACGGGGTCGGGATGGGGGATCCTGCTCCCCGGGATATGGAGTCAGGATGGGATCCTGTTCCCCAGGATTTGGGGACGAGGTCAGGATGGGATCCTGCTCCTGGGATGTGGGGACGGGGTCAGGATGGGATCCTGCTCCTCGGGATGTGTGGTCGGGGTCGGGATGGGGGATCCTGCTCCCCGCGATTTGGGACGGGGTCAGGATGGATCCTGCTCCCCGCGATTTGGGACGGGATTGGGATGGGATCTTGCTCCCCAGGATTTCGGGCTGGGAGCTGCTCCTGTGCCTGGGCACGTTGTCCCACCGCAGTCCTCAGAAAGGAGGCAGAGCTGGGAGGGTTTTTGAGGGTTGGGGAAATTCAGGAAAGCCACGTGTAGCTGCACAGGGTGTGGGGACCCTCTACCCCACCTGTCCCCGAGCTGGGCTGGGGCACGGGTGGAGCATGTCCCAGCCATGCAGAGTTCTGTGCAGCACCTCCCTTCCCACACACACAGAGCAGAGTTTGTGGTGGCAAAGCCAATCCCTGAGTTTTATTAGGGGGAAAAATCCTTTTCCGACCTGTAAAGGGATGGGGGTTCTGGGGACAGGAGGTGCCCGGCTGTGGGGTCGGCACCCTCCCAGCCGCAGTTATTGGAGTGCACCGAGGCCCATCCAGGCGCTCCAGGGGCTCCAGGCCGGGGGCGTGTAGGGGTCCCGGCAGCTGATCCGCACCCGCCCCGCTCCCGCCGGCACCGGCGCCTCCTCCGCGCCCTCCACGAACTGCTCAACCTGCAAAGGGACAGGGCATGGTCTGGGGAGACCCTCGGGGAGGGGGCACAGCACCCCCTGAGCCCGGCAGCGCTGGGGAGAGCAGCGGTGACAGCCTGGGTGACAATTCATCACCCCAGGAGGGGAAGCAGCAGAGTGAGGAGGAGCCGTGGCTGAGCATCTCCCCAGGCACAGCGAGGAGTCAGGGCTGGGGCAGGGTGGGCATAGGGAAGAATCAGGGATGGGGCACAGCGCAGGGTGGGCACAGAGCAGGGTGGGCACATGGGGCAGCCTGTGTTGGTCCCCCCCGGGGCAGAGACCCCCCATCCCCGTTACCTGGGTGCCGTTGTGGAGCTCGTACTGCAGATGGTAGAGCAGCGCAAAGTAAGACTTGGGGAGCGGCCAGGAGGCCGGGGGGGCCCAGGCCAGGTGGAGCTGCTCCCCCCGCTGCTGCAGCATCAGCTTCTGGGGCGGCTCAGGACGCACTGCGGACAGAGCGGGCTCAGAGCAGGGGCTGACACCCTCCCCACGGAGCTTCCCGTGCTTCTTGGACGCCCCCACCCCGCTGCTCCCGCCCTGAGCTCACCGATATCGCGGAGGAAGAAGTGCCGGGAGAGGTTGAGGTAGGAGGTGTCCGAGAGCCCCTCCAGGTGGAGCTGGAGCGGGCGCAGCTCCTCGCCGAAGGGGCAGAACAGGGGATCTGCCAGGCTGGCGTTGAAGCGGCCCTGCTCACCGGCCACGGGCACCCAGGGCCCCACGGAGCCGTCGCTGTGGGGAGGGAGGGGTGGGCAGCGCTCAGGGCGGGGTGCCCGTGGTGCTGTCGTGGGTGTGGGGGGTCCCGAGGGGCACCCACCTGCGGATGAGGCGGGCACGGAAGATGGCAGAGGTGGGCCCGGGCCAGGAGCAGTGGAAGGAGCCGTTGTAGGACTCAGCCTGGCAGGACACGTTGATCTCCTCCTCGCCTGAGGGGTTCAGGGGTGGCTGGTCAGGGGTGGTGCCCCCTCCCTGCAAGGGGCTCCCCACAGCCCTCATGCCCACGGGCTGGGCACCAGGATCCCCTGCTCCTCATCCCTCCACCCCATCACCCCAGCCATGCCCTGCTTACGGTTGTTGCTGAGCACCACGTAGGTGCTGTCCAGCAGGACAGGGCCAGCCCAGCAGCTGTAGTTGCCCGTGGCTGGCAGGTCCAAGCCCAGGATGGTGAGCTTCTGGCCCTCAGGCACCAGCTCAGCCATGGGCTCCTCGTCCCCGTTCAGTGTCCAGGAGATGTGCTGCTCTGAGGTGTCGGTGTCACATCGCACCACCACGTCCTGGCTCAGCTTCCCCACCTGGACTGGAGGCGAGAGGCAGATTGTCCATGGTGGGCTGTGGTGAGGGCAGATTGTTCCCCAAACCACCACGGGTGGTGGCCTCACAAGCCTCACCCTGCTCCTGCACTCCACATCCTCCCCCAGCTCCTTCACCGCACATCACCCCAATGCCCACCCTCCAATCTCCCAGCAGAGCTGTCCCAGCCCCTATCAGAGGGTTTGGGATGCCCCCCACTCCCTCTGCAGTCCCTGTCCCAGCCAGGTTCCCTCTCCAAGGCCTCCCTGTGCCCCACAGCAGCACTCACACTTTGGGGGGAAGGCAGTCAGGGCTTGTGCAGGCACCAGGAACAGCAGCAGCCCCAGCAGCGCCAGCATCTGGGAAGGGAAAGGGTGGGAAAGGGCAGCCCCAGCTGGGCATAACCCAGGAGAGGGGCACAGCCAGGGCAGAGCCCCCAGCCCTGAGAGCAGCAGGATCCCCCCCAAGACCCCCCATTCTGTGCTTACCTCTGCGTTGTCTCCGGTGGGCTCAGCAGAGCCGGGGGCTGCGCTCTTATACCGGGCTGGGCTGTGTGGGGCTGCCCCAAGGTGCAGTCACTGCAGCATCACACTTCTGGGAACTGCAGGATGGGACCCACGCTCAGCCCCCTCCCTGCCTCCCACCCACAGCACTGCTGGTGCTTCCCGGGGGGGCAGGGGGCACAGAAACCCCCTGCCCTGCCCTGCCATGCCAGGGGATGGGTCACGCTGGGAACACCCAGAGAAGGGGCAGCACTGGGTATCTGGGGTGGTGTTGGGGTTTTGGGTGGTCCCAGCTCTCTCAGAGGGGTCCTGCAGCACCAGAGGGTCTGCACATCATCACTGTGTGCTGCAGAGTCCCCCCAGTGCTGCACAGAGCCCCCCAGTGCCCTGCTGTGGGGTGGGGGGGCCTGTGGGGTCTCTCAGTACCCATGCTGGGGGTCTGGAGAGGGGCAGCTCAGGGCTGGGCCCCTCTGGGTGGGTTGAGGAGAGGGGAAGGTTGCCACAGGGGCTCAGGGTGATGTCCCCAGCCTGGCACAGGTTGGCACACCCCTTCCATCCCCTCCTCATGCCAGCGTGTCCCATGGGGTGCTGTGCAGAGATGAGGACGTAGGGACAGAGATCATCATGGTCACCAGCTGCCCCTTTGCCACCCCACTGGTGCCAGCCTGTGCTGAGGGCATATAGCAGAGCCCATCCTGGGGAAGGCAGTGCTGTACCCTTTCACGTACTTTCTGCAGTTCCTAGAAAGCAAAGAGGGAACTGGGGCTGTGGGAGGCTGGGGCAGCCCAGCTCTCACCTTTTGAGGCCAGGACAGGCCAGTGGGACCTCCAAGGCCCCTCCCTGAGCTGAGCCAAACCCCAGTGCGTGGGCTGAGGGGTGGGGACGGGGAGCCAGGACCCCCAGGGCCCATGGAGCAGCTCAGCCCTTGGCTGTAGCACTGTAGGGAACCCCAAGAGGAGAGGGAAGGGGTGCCCTGTCCTGGGGTGCCCCCGTGCCCTGCCCTGTCTGGGGGAAGCAGGCACTGGCAGCAGGTTGGGGGCCCCGCTCGCCCCCATCTCACAAACCACAGCTTCCCCTTGGCTTCTGCAGAACAACCACAACCACAGAGGGGAAGTCCTGAGGCAAAGGCCCGGGATGCCCTCAGAGCCTCAGCGTGGCTGGAACCCCAGCCTGGCACCCGAAACACGGGTGGGAGGGAGAGAGGCCTCACGGACAGAAACCATTCCTGCGAGACGGGAGGAGCAGGGACAGAGCCCACCCAGGGTGGATCACTCTCTGGTGATGTCCCTGGGCAGGGACAGAGCCCACCCCAGCCAGACCCCTCTGTCGTGATGTCCCTGGGCAGGATGGAACACACCCCAGCCAGACCCCTCTGTCGTGATGTCCCTCAGTGGGATGGACCCCTCTGTGGTCATGTCCCTTGGCAGGACAGAGCCCACCATGGCAGGACCCCTCTGTGGTGATGTCCCTTGATGAGATGGATCCCACTCTGGCTGGATCACTCTGTGGTGATGTCCTTGGGCAGGATGGACTGCACCCTTGCTGGACCCCGCTGTGGTGATGTCCCTGGGCAGGGACAGAGCCCACCCTGACTGGATCCCTCTGTGGTGATGTCCTTGGGTAGGACAGAGCCCACCATGACTGGATCACTCTCTGGTGATGTCCCTGGGCAGGACAGAGCCCATTCTGGCTGCACCCCTCTGTGGTGATGCCCCTCGGTGGGATGGACCCCACCATGGCTGGACCCCTGTGTGGTGATGTCCCTGGACAGGATGGACCCCACCCTGGCTGGATCACTTGATGGTGATATCCCTTGGCTGGATACACCCTACCCTGTGGTGATGGGTCCCTCTGTGGTAATGTCCCTGGGCAGGATAGACCCCACCCTGGCTGCACCCCTGTGATGTCCCTCAGTGGGATGGATCCCTCTGTGGTCATGTCCTTTGGCAGGACAGAACCCACTCTGGCTGGATCACTCTCTGGCGATGTCCCTGGGCAGGAAGGACCCCACCCTCACTGCAGTCACGGACACGAAGCCAGGAGCAAAGGTCACAAAACTTTATACAGGAGGAGGGACCCGTGCGTGGCCCCTCGGCCCCGGGCGTGGGGGGAGTGGGACAGGCGATGCCTCCAGCCCCGCAGCACCCCCAGGAAACATGGGGTGAAGGAGCCCAGCGGGGAGGGCCCACAACACTCCCCCGGCCGGGGCCAGCGCTCCCCAATCCACGCTCCGAGGTGCCGGGGCGGTCCCACGGCCGCCGGCCCACGACTGACCGCGGCGCAGAGCCGAGGCAGTGCCAGGCCGTGCCCGCGCCTCCCTGCGAGCCGGGACAGCCCCTGCGGGCACGCAGCCCCCCTGGGGCCTCCCCGGGGCTCCCCTGTCCCCAGGGTCACGGCCAAGCCCAGGCAGCCCCACCGCGGGGCTCCGCCGCTCCGGCTCACTGCAGGACGCACACGTCCCCGGGCTCATCCTCCTCGCGTCCGGCACCCTCCGCCAGCTCCGCCTCCGCCGGCGCCGCCTCCTCGGCCGCCACCACCTTCTCCCGCAGCTCCATCAGCAGGTCCCGGCCCTCGCTGGGCGGCAGGTTGCTCAGGTAGTACTGCGGGGCCAACTCCACCAGCCTGCGAGGAGGACAGCGTGGGCTCAGCCAGCTACAGGGACACCCTGTAGGGAAGGGGCTTCCCCTCCCCGTCCCCTCACATTTGGGGCTGGATCTCCGAGACCACTTGCAGGCAGTTGTCCTGAGAGATGGTAAACTCGTGGTACAGCACCCAGGGGGGCAGGCGGCGCGGGGGTGCCCTCAGCAGGTACCCAGAGGTGGGGGCCAGGTGTGCCACGTGCTTGTGTGTCAGCATCACGTAGTTACCGGAGCCGTCGATGTCCCGGGCGACCTGCGAGGGACCAGCAAGTGTCAGAACTCAGTGCATCCCTCTGGGTGTCCAGAGTTGCTGAGGACCCCGTTGGGGGGCTCAGAGACCCTGGCATGCTGCCCAGAACACCTGGGGATTTGATTGTGACCCTCGGAGCAAGTTACCAGATTTGTATGAGGATGTGGAAGTCACACAGGTTTGAACAGTGTAATAAAATGATCACAGGGTGAAAATGTAGATTTTAGGATTTTTGGTATGGGGGTTATGGGGACAAGATGGAGGAATCTGGGCGTGTCTAGCCTTTCTTTCTTCTTCTTGTTCTCCATCTTCTGCAGTGATGTTGGCACTTTGGGATTGGTTTACAGTAGAAGCGCACTGTCTACCATAGGTGATAGGTATTGGCAATTAAGTGTAAGTATGATATACATAGTTTGTAGTATAAAAGGACAACACAGAGTGCCTGTGGCTGCCTTGCTGAGCAAACCTTGGCTGGGCAGAAAGAAAATTTTATAGATAAGAGTTAATAAACAACTTCAAGACTGAAAAGTGAAGAGTCCAGACTCGTTCTTCAGCTGTGTGGGCTGAAGCAGAGACATCCTGCACATCTCGGGCAGCAACAACATCTGGTGCACCCCAACATCTCCCCCACAACTCCCCACAGCCCCTGGGCTCACCTTGAGGAAGTAGCCGGAGATGAGGGCGCGCTGGATGTTGAGGGCGTTGGCGTCGGAGCCGAAGGCGGGCGGGGACACCGGGAGCTCGATGCGGCGCATGGCCTCCAGCAGCTCGGCGCGCACCGTGCCCGCCAGGCGCAGCGCCTCGGCACTCAGCCCCTGCTTCCGGCACCAGCCCTCGTCCCCCGCGTCTGTGGGGGCACAGCGGGGTCACAAATGGGGGACAGGAGTGGGACAGTGGGGGCTGGGATGTGGGGATAGGGGTGGGATAATGGAGGCTGTGATGTGGGGACAGGGGTGGAATAGTGGGGTCAGCAATGTGGGGACAGGGGTGGGACAGTGGGGTCAGAAATGGGGGGACAGGGGTGGCACAGTAGGGGCTGTGGTGTGGAGACAGGGGTGGGACAGTGGGGTCAGCAATGTGGGGACAGGGGTGGGACAGTGGGGTCAGAAATGGGGGGACAGGGGTGGCACAGTAGGGGCTGTGATGTGGAGACAGGGGTGGGACAGTGGGGTCAGCAATGTGGGGACAGGGGTGGGATAATGGGGTCAGCAATGTGGGGACAGAGGTGGGATAGTGGGGGCTGTGACGTGGCAAAGGGGTGGCACAGTGGGGGCTGTGATGTGGGGACAGAGGTGGCACAGTGGGGTTGGCAATGGGGGGACAGGGCTGGCACAGTGGGAGCTGTGATGTGGGGACAGGGGTGGCACAGTGTGGGCTGTGTTGTGGGGACAGGGGTGTGATAGTGGGGTTGGCAATGTGGGGACAGGAGTGGGACAGCGGGGTCAGCAATGTGGGGACAGGGGTGGGACAGTGGGGTTGGCAATGTGGGGACAGGGAGGGCTGTGATGTGGAGACAGGGGTGGCACAGTGGGGGCTGTGATGTGGGGACAGGACAGTGGTGCCATGGGGTGGGGACAGGTGAGCAGGGAGCCCGCTGGGGGCTTGGGGAACACAAAACCACTGCTGTTCCCTTGTCTGTGACCCCTTCATACAGTGGTGACAATGACTGAGCCCCCAGGCTAGAGCCGGGACCCCCAAATCCTTCCCCAGCCAAGCTGGGCACTAGGATGGGGTCAGGAATGTAGCTCCAGGGCAAGGGACACATGAGGGGACACAACAGGGGACACAACGGGTCTGTGGGATGCCCACAGGGGTGAAGCCCCCCAGCCCCTGCCCCACTCACGCTGCTGGAAGGCATTGAAGATGTTGATGAGGGTGAAGTGGTCCCCGCTGGGGTGCAGCAGCGCCCGCCGGCGCAGCGCCACGGCCTCCTCCAGGTGCGTGGACAGGGGCACGAAGCAGGGCGATGCTGGGGGTGGGCAGGGGGTCACTGTGTGCCCCCAGCACCCCCCTGGCACTGCTGGCTGCCCCCCAAGTCCCCACAGGGTACCTGTGAGCATGGCAGCCAGGCTGACCATCTCCTCCACGCAGTCGAACTCGCAGGAGGCGATGAGGGCCTTGGCCAGCTGCGGGTCCAGGGGGAACTCTGACATGATGATCCCAACCTCCGACAGATTCCCGTCATCATCCAGGGCTGCCAGGTAGTCCAGGTCCTCCAGAGCTTGCATC